TACATAATTATACATAATTATACATTATTATACATTATTATACATTATTATACATTATTATACATAATTATGCGTTATTATACGTTATTATACATTATTATACATGATTATACATGATTATACATGATTATACATGATTATACATGATTATACATGATTATACATGATTATACATTATTATACATTATAGTTTCAGTTTGGGGATGTGGTGAGGAACCTGTAGCTTCGCCGGGACCGAGTCGCATCCACAAACATTTCGTTAGTGATGAAGGATGGGGCTCCGCGAACGCAGTGGTGTGCCCACCATATCTTTTCGCCGGGGCACTGTCGCTCAGTAAATGTTGAAGTAGTATCATATACAGTATAGTTTCAGTTTGGGGATGTCGTGAGGAACCTACCACTTTGCTGTGCCTGTCGGCTCGGCTTACCTAAGACATTGGAGCTCATGCGATTCGAAAGCATGTTCAGTTGCATTCGAAAACAATTCTACTGCCTAGCCTGAGGCAACTTTTGCAGTCATACTGGGCCATGTGCGGTCCAAGACAACACTACCCAGCCTAAGGCACTTTGCAGTCATTCGTGCACTCCTGTGCCGCCTGCCCGTGGACATGAGCAAGGGGCGCTTGAAGAAGCCGGTTGCTGTGGCAAGCTGCTACAGCGTCCAGGTCACGAGGACTCGTGTTCTGTCAGCAACCCCCCGTTCTCGGACTGAGTGAGGCAAGAGACAGGGCAGCCTTGACAGGGCGCTACAGCATTTTACAATACTAATTCGTTGTGTGTGCTGAAGCACTGTCCCCTGCAGCAGCACGTTCTGTGTTCGAGCACGCATCTGAGAGCCTCAAAAGAAGCCAAGTGCACGTGCAGATCTCTGCCTTTCGCGTGGTATGCATGCATCTCATAGGAGCCAACAAGAATACGGGTTGTTCCATGGAGTGGTCGGCTCAAAGAATCCTATGGCCGGCAGGATCTGAGGGTCTGGAGCGGCCGGTGAACATTGTTCCTTTTCAAGCTCTGGCCATGTTGAGATTGCAGCCTCTGAGCCTGATGTGCGCGTGGCCTGAGAGTGTGGCAAGCCTCACATTGACCTTCCTCGAAGAATCCGACGTGGCGAGACTCAATGTGGCCAGGCCGGGTTTCCTTTCTAGAAGAAAATGAATCCAACCTAAAAGTCTCACGCCTTAATGTTTTCGCTGGACACGCAGGATGTTAGCCACAGTTCCGCAGCCTGTGCACCAGCTCGACGAAAATGACGATGTGGGAGCCGGAAACGCCGCCAAGGTCACGTGTCGGGGTTTCAACTTACAGTCTAAGTTTCAGGGGCCAGGCTTTCTGAAAGCCGCGCACATGAGCCCTGAGCGCCTGCGCTGCTGGCTGCACTTAGGTCCCAGAAGCGAAGGGAACCGCCTCTGTGGACGCCCCCGCCTCCGCCGCTTTCAGGTACAAGGCTAGCTCTGCCACGAAGCGTGTCTTTCGCGGTACTTCATGTTCTGACCGAGCTGGTAGATGCAAATTAGTCACAGACAGAAGTCCGTCTTAGCAGATGTTGTCTCGTGGTGCGATGTGTACTTCTGCGTGCGCAGATTTAACTGCGCTTGCGGCGGGTCTTCGCTCGGTCACTGGCCTTGTGTCTGATAGTAATAATTCGGCATGTACAGTCGGGCGCAAGCCCGCGACTTCCTGGATAAACCTTGCCCGTGCACGTGCAATGAGAAGGAGTGCACTTAGCAGCTAGGCCCCGCTAGGCAAGCAGCGGCCATGTGCACTCGAAAACAATGATACTGCCTGGCCTGATGCGCCTTCTGCAGTCATACTTGGCCAAGCGGTCCAAGACAACACTACCCAGCCTAAGGCACTTTGCAGTCACTCCTGTGCTCCTGCGCCACCTGCCCGCGGGCGTGAAGAGGCCGGCAGCTGCAGGCCACGAAGCTGTTCGCAAGGGGTTCCTGAAGAAGCCGGCTGCTGTGGCTGCTACAGCGTCCAGGTCCGCTGGGCTGACGCATGAGGGTGTGTCTGGCCAAAGAAGTTCCAGGCCTGGATCAAGGAGCAGATCCGTGCTCTCAGTCCTTCCTTCGAGGCGACACTCAGCACCAATGCCGCCGAGGCAATGTACTATGTCCGGCTTTCGTGTCGCAGTTGCGTCAAGTGCAGCTGGAAGGGAGTGGCCACGTACGACTTCCAGCGCCGTGATCCGGGCAACGCCGTCCAAGAACCACGGCAACTTCGACCGCATGTGTCGCAGCGATGCCCAGCAAGCGGAACCCAAGCTCGTGGGTCTGACGGACAGAACCAAGGCTTTCGTGCGGGTGTACATCAACAAGCACGAAAGCGGCAGAACACAGCAGCTGCTTCAGTTTCAGGACTCGTGGTTTCGGTGGGTCGGGGTTTTTTCAGATCGAGGGCTTGGAGGGTTCTGGCATTTATGTGGTCCGCCGTTTCAGTCCTGACCTGGAGGAGATCAAGTGGAGGACAGAAGGACCCACCAGCGGAAAAGCTGGTGCGGATATACAGGAGTAACCTGTCGCGAGGCAAGGGATCCCTGCTCAAAACTGCTGAGTGGAACTCCGCAGATTACGAGCACTTCATACAGACGGCCCCATGCTTCGCAGACAATCGCGCCAGCGACAGCCCGCACTTCGATCGGCTCTGCTTGGTGGCGGGAGAAGCAGGTTCGGAGCTGGCGCTGTCAGTTCCTGCTCTCGTCGGACTCTCGTCAGCATTTGGATGGGCAGGAGTAGGTTGCAGTCACATCGCTGTGACAGCTAAAACCGAGATCGGTGGTGGCGACAATAGGAAAACTAGACGTACATCAAGATTTTCGTCGACGGTGCCCGCAAGATGGCGCGAAACAATGCCATCGCGCTCACAGCCGGCCTGCTGTCCAAGAAGGCAGGCAGGACACGACAGGGCCGGAGGGCTTGTGTTTTTCACAGCAGCAAAGCACATAGGCTCAGTGTGATGTGTCCAGGTGGGAGTCTTCAATCCAAAGACCCATCAATAGAGGCCTTACAATTCCAAGTAATGGGTACAAGGAGGGCGATAATTCACACCTGGAGCCTTGTAATGCTTGGGGGGGCGAGGTCGCAGTCTTGGCGAGGCCCAGCATATAACAATGCCAAAACAAGGGTTTTCCTTTTTCGCGTAAAAAAGGGGAAAAACGCGTCTATTGCATGCTCAGTCTAGATTTCGGCGCATGTCTGCTAGAGTCGAACAGAGACTACCAGCATCCCAGCGTTTCGTGTGAAGGTGAAGATTAGGAAAGCTTGGGCAGGAGCAGCGCTTTACGTCCACGTACCATGAGGTCGTCGTCATGCTGACAGGCGCGCTTTGCAAGGGTCTCACAAAGCCATTGCGCGCCCGCCCCTCCCCGACAGGCAAGGAATCGGAAGCCGCCTTTCGCCACTTGTTCGA